TATATATATATATATATATATATATATATATATATATATATATATATACATATCCTTAAGAAAGAAAGATTAGATTATATATATATATATATATATATATATATATATATATATATATATATATATATTCTCTCTATATTGAGAGTTTAAATATTCGTATTTAAGCAATAAGAATGTCCAAAACGTTAGGTAATGTGAGTTACTGGTATGTTACTAGCCAAGCATTGGCACATTTGCCTTATTTGATAGAAAATGTTGGGTTGTGTTATTAAGTAATTGCGGATTTTTTTCAGATTTTTTTCAGATATAACGAAACGATTGCGTTTTTATGTGGTCTTACTTTTGTGAAGCAGTGTATAGCAGAAGATTGCAGATCAAACCGACGTACTGTTTAACGAAATTGTAAAAATGCAATCGTTTCATTTTTCTTCATATCTGAAAAATCCACGATCGCTTATCACACAAGCCAATATACGCTTATCACACAAGCCAAGTACGCACGGAGGCGTACTTGAGCGATAAACCTTGTGTGATAAGCGATTGCTTGGCTCTTCCCGTGTTAATCATGTCTTCTTTTCGCTACAATAGTTTCCTTTCTCGTACATTCTATCGGTTTTTAAACGAATTCTTTCGAGCTCTTTATTTTCCGAACATTTCTACGTAACAGACATGCGCGCGAAATTAATTCCTTTGATAAATTCATCAAATTCGAGTAACTTCCTCTCTCTCCTCCCTCTTCCTCACTCTCTCTTTCTCTCTCTCGGCACAAAGGAAACTAATCCAGAAGGGCCTCGGCTATGTAATGAAACAGAGAACGCGGCTGCTAAAGTACGATTACGCGTCTGCACAATTATTGGCCGGTGAAAACGTTTTTCGAAATAACAGCTCGCTTTTGTCCCGAAACTCATTTCGGTCGCGGTTGTACACTCGACTACGGGATAATTTAATTATCGGTGCAATTCCATCCTTTTGCGGCGATCGATGAGCTCTGCCGGTCAGCGACCTGAATATCATCATTATCTGCGTATATCGAGACATTTTCCACTTTTTCCTTTTTTCATATTCCGTAGAAGCCAAAAGTGAGCCAACCTCTCTTTGTAATGACATCTATAATTCATACTACCCTTTATTCGGGAATGAGTTGCTCACGATTGGCGGGCGAGAAACGATTTAACGAGTTTCAATCGGTGCAGCTATTACATTTTGCGTTATAGTTCTTTTTAAATTCTGTTTCTACTCCTCATCCTTTTTTCGTACTTTGTAGAAGCTAAAAGTGAGCCAGCTCCTTTGCAATTACATCTATAATTCACACTATTTGTTATTCGGGAATAAGTCGTCCACGATTGTCGGACGAGAAACGATCCAACGAGTTTCAGTCGTATTTTGCATTACAGTTCGTATTTTTCCATAGTTATCGAGATGTCGCGCGAAAATTCAAGAAGCGTGAGGTCTGATTTAATTTAAATCTTATTCGCCCAGGCTAACAAGTCCTTCTTAATGGCCGGTAAATCTGGATCGCCACGATACGTCTTCATTTAGTAGCGTAATTTGGCTAATAACGATGATGCGCCGAGCTGCGGTAATATATCTTCATCCGTCTAATAACGGAAATTCAATGAATTGCCATAATAACCTTTTCTTACTTCAGGCATAGATGGCAAATAAATCCGCTCGCGCTTAGCCGCTATTTGCCAGCTGCGCTGGAGGTCTTACGGTATGATATTCTCCCGCCGCGTGATATTCAAATATGAGTTATGCAAATGGCAAATCCAATGGCTACTCTTTCGTCGCATAATATGTACATTGTAATACAAACTATATGCATACATGTAATGTAACAGCAATATTAACTAGGATGTCAATAATTTGGCCGACATTTTACTTTCCTAAATCTCTCCCGAATTTTATAGGATGCCGAAGTCTATACCGCGGGACTATTTGTTTAATCTAGTTTAGTAATGTATCAAAATATATCAGGGAGTTTAAGGGAATACTGAAGCTGAAAACTTTATCGACAGAACACTGATATTTTTCTGCAAGTTTACATCGTATTAGTTATACAGAATTACAAATGCTTTTACGCAATGGAAGTATGTACAAAAATAAATAGGAACATTGCTTGATATGTGACGAAAACGATCAAAAAATTTTTAATGTAAAATCTCAAGCTAGTGCAATATTTGCCTAATCCAAAAGTTCCGCAACTTGTACGTACCGAAAGTGTGGATACTTCAAACAGAAAAATTTTGAAGAACATTGCTCTACCTTCGCATCTGCATTCGGAAGCTTAAGAATATCGAAAAAGTTTGCAGAAAGATTTCTACACATATATGATTAGGTTTTCCGTTGAATATGGTAAAACAAAGCAATACACATTCATATAAGTTCTGTATATACAAGAAATACAAAAAGGATAGCATGATTATGTTAGTAACGATCGTCTCTGCATTATCAACGTTGTTCGAGTTCGTCATCGACTCCAGCATCCTCTTAACTCAATTTAATAAATTTAACACGAATTTAGTGATTAAATTGACAATTGTACACGCAAAAAAATTTCAGTTGGTGCAACCAAATAGGAACCAACTAAAAATTAAGTGATCAGAAGTGATATCTCTGTTATGAAAACTAATATTTCTGTTGTCGCAACCGAAAATATTCGTCTGAACATTCAACGATATTAGAACTCGGTTGAGACAACTGAGAACAATTGACTATACAGAAGCCTCATAAAGGAATTTTTCTGTTCCTACAGCCGAGTTTTCGTCTGAGTAACTGAAAATTTGGTTGCACCAACAGAATTGTTTTTTCCGTGTAAACGACGAATCCGGGACACTCTGTGTATTCGCAGTTCAGTTAACACATGTGTAGCCTCCCGCATAACTGAACGAGCCATTTAACGCGAACCCGACTCGTTTTCGTCGATTGCAGCAAGATCTGTTCGCCTTCGAAATCCTCGGCGGACATCTCTATCTGCACGCCGACCTCGGAAGTGGCTCCGTCAAAGTGCGAGCGTCCAAGTCGCGCGTGGACGACGGTGTCTGGCACGATGTCGCCCTGAGGAGAGTCGAAAGGGACGGCCGCGTCACCGTCGACACCTGGACAGTCGAGTTTCGCACTCCAGGTAATAAAAACCGTCGAAATTGTCGCTTCTGAAGGGGCTGATCCCACCGGCCCGGAAATATCGTTACCCGGTATCTCGCTGCCCGGAAAACGCAAAGCTCGCGCGCGATCGATAAATCGATGCGGGTGGCGGCAGCAGCAGCGTTCGCGCGGCGAATCCACGCGTACCGGCAGTTTTTCAAAAAAGAACTATCTCACCGTATATATGGAGTGTCTAGCCCGGCCTGGCAGATAAGTGTCCTCGAGCGTGTAACTCTGAATTATGAGTGACTCGGCTCGCCGTTTACGTCTCGCCGCGCGCCCGCGCGCACGATGTCCAGAATTTACTCACTGCACCACGGCTAAGTGATAGAGCACTACGTATGTGCGCCGCGAACACCACGCGCCCGATACCGCAAAAACGATAAAAAGAATTTCATTGAGACAGCGAGGACCCATATATCCTCCGCCAGATAACGGCGACTTAGAGCGCCGAGGACGTTATTGCGTCGCTTGTTCCTCTTGATTCTTTTCCTCCCTTCTCTCTCTCTCTCTCTCTCTCTCTCTCTCTTCCTCTCGTTCTCTCGCTCTTCCCCTTTTATCTCTCCCTCTCTTGGAGAAAAGGAAGAGACGGAGGATAGTGTATCCCAGCGGTGAGCAAAATGCGCGAGCATTAACCGAATTAGTAGGGTAGTAATTGCATTGACGGTGGACGATAGCGCCCGCTCATTTAATTTCATCGAAGCGAGCACTGATCAGTTTTGTTATTTGTTTACCCCGCACTAGCTTTATTTGCGTTCAATTGCGGTTGCGGCAGGTGGTTATTGCGCGGAATGTTTCTTCAATTTATTACGCCGGCGGTGCTGCGTCGCCGTGGCCTCGCTCGTTTTAACGGAAAGGTCGACTGAATTACACGATCGAGTGTTTTCCGCGTGGTGAAGGACGAAAAAAAGAGAGCACTTCGCACGCGCGCTCTTACCGCTGCTCTCACGGAGCTTGGAACGCGAGTTTTCCCTGACTCCTCGAAGCAGAAATTAATTAAAGCGCAATAAATGATCGCGGCTGCACGCCTCCATTGTATTTTCTAAATTGCGTCGGTTCTCTCGTTCCTAGGCGGAATTTGCGTGATAAATTTTATTAACAAGTTTTATTAACAGGTTTTATTAACAGTATAACGTGAAAATTTCTCTCTCTCTCTCTCTCTCTTTCTCTCTCTCTTGGTCCATCTTTTTTCCCTTCCCGTTCGTCGAACACTCGCGAGATAAATTCATAACTTCAGTCCGACCGGCGCGCACTGTTTCCACCCTGCCGCGGCCACGACCTGTCGCGGTTAGCCGAATTACACGGACGGTTAATTTGCCAACGAAACTCGCCTTTGAATCCCGCTCCCGGAACAGTCCGGGGCAATTTCGTCTTTTGCGCTGTTGCAAAACCGCGCGCAAATAACTCGGGCGCTACCAAGAGGGAAGAGAGAAAAAGAATGGAAGGGAATATATCCCGTGACTCTCCGCCGCGTCTCTATATTCTCGCGATACGAGCGTCAGTCGTGATCGGTTATTTCGAGAATTCACTTTGTCTTGCGCGCGATCACTTGCCGGACTCCTCACCTTGCGCGATTGCAGTCGTATAAATAAATCAGATCCCGATAATCCCGGAGTCTCTCTGTAAATCGCGCGCTCGGCCTGTTGCGCGAAATATCAAAGCGTATCGAGAATGCGGCTGTTTTTCGAGTCGCGGACATCAGGCGAACCAGGGGACCACATTTCGTCGAACGAAAGCCGCTGATCGACGCTATTTACGACGGTATTTTTATCGTCGCGCTGATTCTTTCGCTCGTTTATCGCCGATTAATATTCCATCAAACCTGCTCCTCTCTCCGCAGAATAAAAAGAATCTTTGCGTTACTAATGCACAAATAAAAAGCTGGACTATTTTTAAAAGTAATGAGGGTTTATCAGGTTGAAATGCAAAACACACACACATGCTTGTGAAATAAAATAGAAAATCGATATCACCTAATTTAGAAGAATCGTAGAACACCATTTCTACGATTTAAATAAACAACACTTCTCTTTTTAGACATCTAACGAGGACCTCCTATTTCTCTCTCAACCCTTATCCGGGCAAGTTACATTTATGGTGCAGTTGCGCTGGTGGAAGTTATATATAAAAGTGAAAATATCTGAAGAAGCTTCAAAAAATATTAATTTTTACAGAGTTTTATTTTTCGTGGAAGTAATGTTAAGCTTTAGGCGGTACACCTGAAAACGTTCCGTGGTAGAATACTAAATTCCTCTTGATTTATTTAAACCATCGTATTTTTTATTTTAACTCATAGCAAATACAAATGAGACGTGTATTTTATACTCTTTTTCAAAATTCTCTTCACAGGAAGTAGCCACAAAATGAAAATAAATATAGATATTTTTACACAGAGGCAGAAAATATCGTAAAAATAGAAAGTATTTATTCGATAGGCGTAAATAACATATTTATTGAAATTGAAATTCTTCTGTTTAGATTAATTTTAGGAAAATATATACTTTTATTTTTTTATTTAGAAAATGTTTCATGTTTGGATAAACAAATAGATAAATATTTTTTTATTCAAATGAATAAGGGTTGCTCGAGTAAGGGTTAATACCCAAATTATCTACGAGAATTTAATAGGAGAATGACCAATATTTCGTTCCAACTTGATAAGTGAAAGATTCTGTCACTTAATGTGTTTAATACGATACACTGACTAAATATACCATCTTTGCAGGCGACTCAACGCAATTAGATCTGGACGGTTTGCTGTACATCGGCGGTGTCGGCGCGCCCTTCGCCCCGTTAACGGTGCCGCCTGTTTTGTGGACGGGCGCCCTTCGACAGGGCTACGTGGGATGCATGAGGGATCTCGTGATCAATGGACACCCGGTGGATATCGCGGGATACGCGCAACAGCAGGATTCCGGTAGGCAAATTTTATAATGACAAAAACGCGCATTTCGTTCACTATACGTACTTCAAACGCGATTCCTTACTCTCTCTTTCTCTCTCTCTCTCTCTCTCTCCCCCCCCCCC